GGTGGTCACTTCGCAGCTCCAGGGATTCCTTGATGACACCAATTTTCTGGATCATTCACAGTCTGGCTTTAGGCCTGGGCACAGTACCGAGAGGGCTTTGGTTGCCTTGGTGGATGACCTCTGCAGGGAACTGGACAGGGGAAGTGTGACCCTGTTCGTTCTCTTAGATATCTCAGCGTCTTTTGATACCATTGACCATGGTATCCTTCTGGGGAGACTTGCTAGGATGGGACTCAGGGGTATGGTTTTACTGTGGCTCCGGTCTTTCCTGGAGGGTCATTCCCAGTTGGTGAAGCTGGGGGACACCTGTTCAGACCCCTGGCCATTGACCTATGAGGTCCTGCAAGGATCTATTTTGTCCCCCATGCTATTTAACATCTACATGAAACTGCTGGGAGAGGTCATCTGGAGTTTTGGAGTGAGGTGCCATCTCTACGCAGATGACACACAACTCCACTACTCTTTTCCATCTGAATCCAAGGAAGCCTCTTGGATACTGAATCAGTGCCTGGCTGCTAGGTCGATCTGGATGAAGACGAACAAGCTGAAGATTAATCCTGACAAGACAGAGGTCCTCCAGGTCAGTTGCTTGCCTGACCGGGGTATTGGGTGGCAACCTGTGCTTGACGGGGTTGCACTCCCCCTGAAGTCACAGGTCCGCAGTTTGGGGATCCTCCTGGACTCAGTGCTGACACTTGATGCACAGGTGTTGGCGGTGGCCAGGAGGGTCTTCGCACAACTAAAGCTAGTGTGCCAACTGCGACCATACCTCATGAAGTTGGACTTGACCACGGTGGTCCATGCCTTAGTTACCTCTAGATTGGATTACTGCAATGCACTCTATGTGGGGCTACCCTTGAAGATGGCCCGGAAACTATGACTCGTCCAACGTTCGACAGCCAGATTAATAACCAGGGCGAATTACAGGGAGCGGTCAACCCCCCTATTTAAGGAGCTCCATTTTCTGGTCCCAATTCAATGTACAGGTCATCACCAGTAAAGCCCTGAACGGTTTGGGACCTGCCTACCTTCGTGACCTTATCTCCATCCATGAGCCTGTTTGATCCCTCCAATCCTCAGGGAAGGCTCTCCTTTCACCCCTACCATTTTCTCAGGCCCGCCTTGTGGGAACAAGGGAGAGAGCCTTTTCCTCAGTGCCCCCCCTCCCCCGACTATGGAATACACTGCCTGGTGAGATTAAGTGAACCCCCACTTTAGAGAGTTTTAAGAAGAATCTCAAAACCTGGCTCTTCCACTGCGCTTTTGGAGATTAACCATTAATTTATATGTCCATTAACCCTCAACATCATAAATAACTTGCCCCACTGTTGTCTCACTCCCTGTTTTTATCCTTAGTATTTTATTCTGGACATGTGGCCCACTCATTGCTTTGTTCTATGAATGATTTTATTATAATTTTATATGGTTTATGCTTTATGTAATTCACTGTGTTGTTGCTTATGTTTTGATTTCATTGTGTTGTTGTTTATGTTTTGATTATTGTATTGTGCTGATGGGCTTGGCCTAATGTAAGCTGCCCTGAGTCCCCATTGGGGAGATGGTGGTGGAGTATAAAGATGATGATGATGATGATGATATCTACATAAAAACTCCAACCATCACCCAAGTCAAAAAAAGAAGCACAATTAAAGCCCTGGCAGACTGTGCAAAAAGAATAAGTGAACCCCACCTCCTCCAAGACGAACTGAACCACCTAAACTGGGCTTTACGGGCCAATGGATACTCCACCACACACATCAGAAGAGCTGAAAGACTGAGAACAAGCCATGAGAATCAAGACAAAGATCCACCCAGAGATTTTACTGATTATATTTAATAGAGGTTGTTTTACTTAATGTACATTATCTGGTTTATGTAATGTGTTAATTGATTTTATATGTTGATGTATTTTATTCTGTGACCTGTATGGCACCTTTGTGTGCTATTGTGTAAGCCACTCGAGTCCCTATGGGAGATGGTGCCAAGGTATAAATAAAGTTGTTGTTATTGTTATTATTGGGTTGCTGTAGGTTTTTCGGGCTATAGGGCCATGTTCTAGAAGCATTCACTCCTGACGTTTCGCCTGCATCTATGGCAAGCATCCTCAAATAATTTGTTGTTGTTGTTGTTGTTGTTGTTGTTGTTGTTGTTGTTGTTGTTAAAACATGTTAAAGCCTGGTAAGTGCTTCCACCTGCATCCAGGGGGAAGCAGTAATCTGTCCAATGGAAACATCCGCATTCGAAAGTATGGGGTGTTCTTTCAAGTCATCTGTTGACCTATAGCAACCCCATGAATTTCGATTCACAGGCAAAGAATGGCCAGAGTTGATTTTGCCACTTCCTTCCTCTGAATCCTAGTCCTAATCAGGGTTGACTCTGATCAAAGGGGATCGATCTGCTGCTTTTAACCTCCTTCAAATAAACAGAAAGCATTCTGGTTTTGCCTTGCTTTCATGAGACAGGAAAGGTGGAGAACAACTTCCTTCAGAAAGCTGACTCTAAGCAGGGGTGTGTATTCAGACACTATGGGCATGTGATCAAAACCAGACACTGCAGAGGAGGAAAAATTCTTTCCACAGCTGTAAACAGCTGTTGCCAAAAATAGAGCCACATTTGGGTGCTTGCTTACCCTAAGAGGTAGGACTGTTTAGTCCACCGGGGATGGTGTTTTACTTGGAAACTTTACAGATCTTGAATCATAGAATTGGAAGAGACCTTGTGGGCCATCCAGTCCAACCCCCTGTCAAGAAGCAGGGAATATTGCATTCAAAGCACCCCCAACAGATGGCCATCCAGCCTCTGTTTAAAAGCCTCCAAAGAAGGAGCCTCCACCACACTCTGGGGCAGAGAGTTCCACTGTTGAACAGCTGTCAGAGTTAGGAAGTTCTTCCTAATGTTCACATGGAATCACCTTTCCTGTAGTTTGAAACCTAGTCTTCAGGGCAGCAGAAAACAAGCCTGCTCTCTCCTCCCTATGACTTCCCTCACATATTTATACATAGCCTTCATGATGTCTCCTCTCAGCCTTCTCTTCTGCAGGCTAAACATGCCCAAATCTTTAAGCCACTCCTCATAGGGCTTGTTCTCCAGACCCTTGATCATTGGTGGAGCTCAGAATGCTCTTTGATGTAAGTTAACTATAAATCCCAGCAATTACAATTTCCTGATGGCAAAACCATTTTTTAAGTGATGATCACTCCTTGGGTTAGTAGGTGTCTTGTGGCCAAATCTGCTGGCAATTCATCCAGTAGTTTTTGAGTTATGTTAATCCCACAAACAAACATTACATTTTAATTTATATATTAGCCATCCCCTGCCACGCGTTGCTGTGGCCCACATGGGGGATCTGTGTGGGAGGTTTGGCCCAATTCTATTGTTGGTGGGGTTCAGAATGTTTTGTGATTGTAGGTGAACTATAAATCCCAGCAACTACAACTCCCAAATGTCAAGATTCTATTTTCCCCAAACTCCACTAGTGTTCACATTTGGGCTTATTGAGTATTCATATAGAGTTTGGTCCAGATCCATCATTGTTTGAGTCCATAGTGATCTCTGGATGTAGGTGAACTACAACTCCAAAACCAAAGGAGACTGCCCACCAAACCCTTCCAGCATTTTCTGTTGGTCATGGGAGAACTGTGTGCCAAGTTTGGTTCAATTCCATCATTGGTGGAGTTCAGAATGCTCTTTGATTGTAGGTGAACTATAAATCCCAGAAACTACACCTCCCAAATGACAAAATCATTTTTTTTTTTTTTTAGTGATGGTCACTCCTTGGGTTAGTAGGTGTCTTGTGGCCAAATTTGGCAGCAATTCATCCAGTGGTTTTTGAGTTCGGTTAATTTCACAAACAAACATTATATTTTTATTTATATAGATATGTTAAATGTGGAAATAACAGATTGCAAATGGAATAATATAGATAAAATTGAAAAGGTCCCAATAACTAAGGTCCCAATAACTAAGAGGATGTGGGAACCAGTTAGGAATTATTTAGAAAATGTGCTAAAATGTGGAGTAGAAAAATTAAGATTGAGACTGATATTTGAAATGCAACTTCTGTAGTTAGATGTATAAATTCCATGTACAAGGAGAGGAGGGTGGGAGTGGGGGGAAAAACCAATAAAACAGTTTTTAAAAACGGTATGATTAATGCAGTTGGGCCCCACTTTGACTTCCCTGGCGGAGTGCTTTGGGATCCAAGGAGATATTGACAAGCTGGAGAGATATTGACAAGCTGGAATGTGTCCAGAGGAGAGTGACTAAAATGATAAAAGGTCTGGAGAACAAGCCCTATGAGGAGCGGCTTAAGGAGCTGGGCATGTTTAGCCTGAAGAAGAGAAGGCTGAGAGGAGATATGATAGCCATGTATAAATATGTGAGAGGAAGCCACAGGGAGGAGGGAGCAAGCTTGTTTTCTGCTTCCTTGGAGACTAGGACGCGAAACAATGGCTTCAAACTACAAGAGAGGAGATTCCATCTGAACACGAGAAAGAACTTCTTGAACAGCCGTTCAGCAGTGGAACTCTCTGCCCCGGAGTGTGGTGGAGCCTCCTTCTTTGGAAGCTTTTAAACAGAGGCTGAATGGCCATCTGTCAGGGGTGATTTGAATGCAATATTCCTGCTTCTTGGCAGGGGGTTGGACTGGATGGCCCATGAGGTCTCTTCCAACTCTTTGATTCTATGATTCTATGATTCTATGATTGGTGCTTGAGCCAAGTTTGGAGCCTCCTCTGCCCAAGAGGTCAACTCGCAAGGTTCCATTGCATTAAAGTGCGCCTCTCTCCACTTTGGAGGCGCCCCTTCTCCTCTCCCTCCCTCCCTTCCTTGCCTCCTTCCCTCCGTATCCGCGCTCGGGTGGGCTGCCTCCCCCTTCTCTCGCTTGCCCCAGAAGCCCAGCCGGACTTTCCGGGCGGCCAGCCCCTTCGTTTCCCGGAACGAGGAGGAGAGCGAGGAGGAGGCGTCCCCTGGAGCCGCGCCACGGAGCCTCCGCCTCGCTCCGGCATCAGGAGCAGGCGGGGCAAGAGGCGAGCGGTTGGGCCGGATTGTCCGAGGCGGGGCCTTCCCCGTCCGCCGTCGGTCGCCATTGGGACCCGAGGCGACGGTCCCGACCTTTGGGGTTGACGCGCCTCTGATGCCCCAGCCTGTCTCCCTCCTGGGCTCTTAGGAGGCTTTCCCAAGTCGCCCTTTGCTTCGCCTCCCAGGCGCGCCTTCTTTTGGACTCTTCCAGCGGGATTGGGAAAGAGGAGACACGTCGCCTGGGTCTGTGGCCGGGAGAGGAACGCCTCACTGCCTGGACACTTGTTTTGGAGAGGGAGAGGTCTGCCCTCGGTGGGGAAAGGCAGAAGGAGTTGGAGGAGAGCCGGGTTGTCGATGGACTTGAGAAGAAGGAATAAGGAGAACTTTGTCCCGGAACTGTGACACGGAAACCATTGGGGCTCCAGGAGGAAGAGGAGCCCCTTGACTTGGATCAAGGGAAGACTGGGAAAGGGAGGTCTCTGGATCCACGCCCCACTGCCTGAACCTTTTTTTGGGCGTGTGCGAAAGAGTTTTCCCTCTCCTTGGCGGAGAAGAGTTGGAGAAACCACAGGAGGGGCTGCATTGCCCACGTGTTTTTTGGAGATGCCAAAAGAGAGTCGCTTCTACAGATTTTGGGGGGTCAAGGCAGGGTTTTGAGGGTCCAAGGAAGACAGCAACCGAGGAGAGTCGCAGCTGCTTGGAGGATGTGAGGCAGACAGAAATTTGCCAGCAGGACATCAGAGGAGGATTTTTTTTAAAGGAGACCTTATTCTCTTTTTGAGAGGGACCCCAGCCTGCTTTTTTCAGAAAAGCCTCTGTTCTTGGGATCTCATTCTCTATTTGAGAGAGGCCTCAGACTCTTTTGGAGCATCCATCTCTTTTGAAGGAAGACCTCCATCTCTTTCTGAGGGAGAGCTCACTCCCTATTTCGGAGCAGCGTCTGGAGTAAAAACCCCAGACTATATTGGAGGGAGAGCCCAGACTCTATTTCAGAGAGGCCTCAGTCTCATTTTGAGGGAGACCTCAGATTCTGCTCCCAAGAAGTTGTGAGGCAAGAGCTGAGGAAGCCAAGGTCCTCCTGGGTGACCCCGGGAGAGCTCAGTACACCACGAAGGCCAAGCCGGAGGAGGGCCGCCCCGCCTTGATGGCTGCCGGGGGCGGCAGTGGCAGCATGTGGACCAACGGTGGGGCCTCGGGCACCTGTGCCCCTTGTGCCCTCAGTTACACACTCCCAACCATCTCTTCCAACAAACTGCCAGACCTGTGTTTCCTTGGCCGGGGAGCCTATGGCACCGTCTCTTCGGCCCGTCATGCAGACTGGCGAGTGCCAGTGGCTGTCAAAGGCCTACAGGGACCACTACTGGACAGGTGAGTCTCCAAGGGGAAAAGAACATAGTTCTGTACCTGGACATTCTAAGACAGTGGTTCTCAACCTATGGGTCTCCAAATGTTTTGGCCTTAAACTCCCAGAAATCCTAACAGCTGGTAAACTGGCTGAGATTTCTGGGAGTTGTTGGCCAAAACACCTCAGGACACACAGGTTGAGAACTACTGTCCCAAGAACAACCTTGCGGGGCCATGGCTTTGGGAAGATTTGAATGAGGACTTCCCTAATCTGACCCAAGCCCTAAAGTCAGGGTTAGCAATTGGCCAAAGCTAAGAATCTACCTAACACAGCTTCTTAGCCTTGTTCATATGAATACATTTAAATATAATTTTTAAAAAAATAAACCATGTATATAATTTCTATAATTAAAATCATATAGAAGTAGGTTGGGGACGTCTCCACTTTTATTATAATAATAATAATAATAATAATAATAATAATAATAATAATCTTTATTTGTATCCCGCCATCATCTCACCGAAGGGATTTGGTGCGGCTAACAAAGCACTCAAGGTGCCACACATAAAATAGATTTACATATAGTTAAAACAATACAAAATTTGACCAAATACAAACAATGGACAATGCCAATCAATATAATTAAAAATTTAAAAAATTCTAAAACACAGTCATCCCTGTAGATCGTTGGGTTTCTTCAAACATGAGCTAAAGTGCCGAATAACAATGGTCGACATCATCACATGACCATAGTACATTACTCCAGGTCAGAGGCTGTGCTGCAGTTCTTTACTTCAGTAGTTTTTGTATGGTTTCTGGTGGTAAATGCTATTTTACGGTTTAGTGGATCTTGCATACGCAATCTTATAGTACAACCCCTGTATCCACAGAAAGGGACCTACAGTTTTATTTATCCAACTATCAGTAGAGTTCACTGTTCACTTATTTAGTCAAAGTCTGGGAACATATTGAGGGTTGTAGTTTTCATAATTGATCCAGAAAGATGCAGTGTCATGAGAAAGAGACAGTTGCAGGATACACATACAGGTACAAATCATTCTGACAGAGCTGAGAAAGTATAAAGGCCCAAATCAAAATCAAATTAAAAAGTTAGATAAAATCCGATTTAGAATGGAGGAAGGATCCTAAGAAATAGGATACAAATGTTATATACTATGTAAATCTTTAAAGATTGTGTCAAAAAGGATTTATATGTAAAATAAAATAATCCTTGTGCTGGTGGGAATTGTAAATGTGGTGTATGTGTATGTCCTAAAATAAGCCTCCTGGTGGCTCAGTGGGTTAAACCACTGAGCTGCTGAACTCGCTGACTGAAACGTTAGCGGTTTGTATCCGTGGAGTGGGGTGAGCTCCCTCTGTTAGGCCCAGCTTCTGCCAACCTAGCAGTTCAAAAACATGCAAACGTGAGTAGATCAATAGGTACTGCTCAGACGGGAAGGTAACGGTGCTCCATGCAGTCAATCCAGCCACATGACCTTGGAGGCATCTACGGACAACGCCGGCTCTTCGGTTTAGAAATGGAGATGAGCACCACACCCCAGAGTTGGACACGACTAGACTTAATGTCGGGAAAACCTTTATCTTTACCTGTGTCCTAAAATAGATTTAAAAGAACTCAAAAAGGAGAATGGAGGAAGGACTTGTTGTGTCATGGATTTCAAGGGGATGTAATTGCTATTTTCAAACTCATATCATTCAGTAAAGGTAATCATGGATTAAAGTCCAGGAATCTTTAAGGTTTGCCTATTTGTATACTGAATCTTTAACTGCTAAAATTAAATAGTGAGTTTTAGCTGTATGCCGATTTTTAAAGAATGAAACAGCTTCTTTCGTTTCTGCTCTTTGTGGTTTGCCAGCAATGGGAAGTGCCATTGCATTTGGGAAGGAGTAGCAGAGAAAAGGGAAAGTAAAAAAAAGAAACAAAGGAAGCCTGTGCTCCAATCTATACTAGCCAAAGTTTTTAAACTGCAACTCTCAGAATCTCCCATCCGCCTAAGAGTCATTATCTGTAGGTGTTTTTGGGCTAAAAATACCAAAACTCTTCATCATCAGCTTTGTTGGCTAAATCTTCTAGGAATTGGAGTCCAATAACATCTTCAGGGTCATATGATTTCTGTCCTAGATCTAGAGTTGTGGTTCTCAATCTTTGTCACTCAAGATGTTTTGAACTTCAGTTCCCAGAATCCTTGGCCAGAATCCTGGCTAGATCTTCTGGGAGATGAAGTCTAAAATATGTTAGAAGGCAAACGTTTGAAAACTGAACACAAGAGGTTAGAGAAGATGAAATCATTCTTAACCACTTGGTGATTTTATAAACAAAATTATGTAAGAGCAAACAAGGCAAAATCTATATAACTAATCTGAACTGGAGTCTTCCAAACAGAAGCTGTCTAAATGAACTAGCTGTTACGGAGCCAAGAAGACATATACCAGCATATTTGGTGTTCAGTTTGTATTAGATGCCTGAAAGAAACAAAGAGTAATTCTCTAATTTTGCCTTAATCATTTTCAGTGCTTTTTTAAATTTACGCATTGTATTCAGTTGTTGAACCTCTTCTAGCAGGTTGTTCCACAATCTACGATCCCTACATTGGCCTGGCCCCAAACCACGTAGGCCTTTAAAGCTAACAGGCAGCACTTTCTACCTTGCCCAGAAAATAATTGGCAGCAAGTAGACTGATTTTATTTATTTATTTATTTTATTGCAGTTACTTATACCCCGCCCTTCTCACCCCCTAGGGGGGACTCAGGGCGGCTTACAAACAAAGGCACAAATTCGATGCCTGTCAAAATATACAGCATATATAAAACAGTATAAACATTTAGCAGCATTAAAACACATCACTACATATAATAAAACAGTTTCATGCACAGTGAAATTCAGAGTTCCGAAATGTCCATTCATTCCAACAATTCTTGCTCATCAATGGGTCCTTATTTTAGCTGCCAGAATGTCCAAAAGCTTGGTCCCAGATCCAGGTCTTCAGTTTTTTTCTGAACGACAGAAGGGAGGTCGCTGATCTGATCTCCCCAGGGAGTGAGTTCCATAGGTGAGGGGCCACCACCGAGAAGGCCCTGCTCCTCGTCCCCGCCAGCCTCGCTTGAGATAGAGGCGGGGTCGAGAGCAGGGCCTCCCCAGATGATCTTAAACTCCGAGGTGGGACGTAGAGGGAGATCCGTTCGGACAAATACACTGGGCCGGAACCGTATAGGGTTTTGTAGGTTAAAACCAGCACTTTGAATTGTGCTCGGAATTGGATCGGCAGCCAGTGGAGCTGATGTAGCAGGGGGGTGGTGTGCTCCCTGTACATCGCTCCAGTGAGCAATCTGGCTGCTTCTCGCTGGACTAATTGTAGTTTCCGAGCAGTCTTCAAAGGCAACCCCACGTAGAGTGCGTTGCAGTAATCCAACCGGGATGTGACAAGAGCGTGGACCACCGTGGCCAGATCTGACTTCCCAAGGTACGGGCGCAGCTGGCGCACAAGTTTTAATTGTGCGAAAGCTCTCCCGGCCACCGCTGAGACCTGGGGTTCCAGGCTCAGCGATGAGTCCAGGATCACTCCCAAGCTGCGAACCTGCGTCTTCAGGGGGAGTGTAACCCCGTCTAACACAGGCTGTAACCCTATACCCTGTTCGGCCTTACGACTGACCAGTAGGACCTCTGTCTTGTCTGGATTCAATTTCAATTTGTTAGCTCTCATCCAGTCCGATACAGCAGCTAAACACCGGTTCAAGGTCTGGACAGCCTCCTTGGTGACAGGTGGAAAGGAGTGACAGATTTGGACATCATCTGCATAGAGATAACATCTCATTCCGAAACTCCGAATGATCTCTCCCAACGGCTTCATGTAGATGTTAAATAACATCGGGGACAGATTGAACCCTGTGGGACTCCACACAACAATGGTTGTGGGGTCGAACAGGTGTCACCCAGTAACACCTTCTGGGTCCGTCCCTCAAGGAAGGATCGGAGCCACTGCAAAGCAGTGCCCCCGAGCCCCATGTCCATGAGGCGACCCAGAAGGATACCGTGATCGACGGTATCGAAAGCCGCTGAGAGGTCCAGCAGAACTAACAGGGACACACTCCCCCTGTCCAGTTCCCTGCGAAGATCATCTACCAAGGCGACCAAGGCTGTCTCAGTTCCATGTCCCGGCCTAAAGCCAGACTGTGCCGGATCCAGATAATCAGTGTCTACCAGAAACCCCTGGAGTTGTGTTGCCACCACACGTTCCATGACTTTGCCCAAGTAGGGGAGATTGGAAACTGGCCGATAGTTGTCGAATTGAGTGGGATCCAGTGATGGTTTCTTCAACAGCGGTTTTATAATAGCTTGTTTTAAGCTCGCTGGAAATTTTCCTTCCTGTAAGGAGGCATTAACCATCACCTTCACCCACTCCGCCAAACCCCCTCTGGCTTCCTTGATCAGCCAGGATGGGCAGGGGTCTAGGATGCATGTGGTGGGTCGCACCTCTCCAAGGATCCTGTCCACATCCTCAAGCTGAACCAATTGAAAAGAATCCAATAAAACTGGACAAGCAGATGCTCTCGTTACATCCCCAGAGACTGCCGTTAACATGACGTCAAAGCCTGACCGAATCCGCTCAATTTTATCCGCGAAAGATCGAGCAAATGCTTCACAGCGAGCCACCGAGTTATCCGAGGCCTCGCTTTTTGGCGGATTTAACAGGCCCCTGACAACTCGGAAAAGCTCAGCTGGACGATTCTTCGCGGATGCAATATTGGCTGTGATGAATGTTTTCTGAGCCGCCGCAATTGCCACACTGTAGGACCTTAAAAAGGCATTCAGGTGTGTTTGAGCCGGATTGGTGGGCTTCTGGCGCCACACGCACTCTAGCCTCCTCTTCTTTCGCTTCATCGCTGCCAGCTCCTCAGTAAACCAAGAGGCTGGTTTAGCTCGGTTACTCGAGAGGGGGCGTTCCGGAGCGATTGTGTCAATTGCCCTGTCAATTTTAATATACAATAATTGAGTAATGATTGA